TTTTTTTTTTGTTTTTTTTTATTATTCACTGAGCTAATCGTAGAGTACGTTAGTTAATATAAGAAGAAACGTCTAGCTTCGCGGTCTCTCTCTCTCTCTCATTTGGATGCACGTCTTGTTTCTCTCTTATAACCTCATTATTTCTCACTAATAACCTAACTAAAGCAGCACATGCCCTTGATACGAATTCTAAAAGTGACGAATGTTTAACTGTCAACTTGAGCTTTGAATCCGTGGCGGAAGGAAGTTGTTCCGCACAAAAGAGGGTTTCATTAGACACTCCGTTGTTTCTTGTTTAATTTCACACGTTCCATCGAACTGTTGTATAAACGTAATATCACTCTCGTACTCGAGCGATAGCGGCGCTCAGCCTCGTGCCTCTGGCCTAATCACAGCCATGCTGATATAGAGCCGGTATCGATCTCGTACTGGAGTGATATTTCATATATATATATAAATATGAATGTGTAAACTGTTTTAACATGTGCTCTATTCAGACAAGTTCACTTCCTTGCAGTAAGATTCTGAACACAGTCTTCCGAGACACTTCCTCAAGTCTGAAACACAAATACCAACCTGGTTCAGGAACTTCTACTTTAAGCGAGACCACCTCGTCTTCACAGGAAATGCTCATCTCCGTCATCTGTTGTGTAACGGGAAGGGCATCAGTGGAGTTGGGTGACTCAACACTAGCAGACGAGGAGTTGTTTAGTGTAGCTTCGATGATCTGGATGGCTGAGGATTCAGAGGTAGGACTACTGGTGACACTGCTGGAAGCTGCTGGAACAGACCAAAGCCCCTCAGTTAATGAGACGCTTGAGGAACAATCAATCTCACGAATGCATCCGATGGTCCGTGAAGATGTTCAAAGAGTGGAAACACGTACCCATTGTGCTAATAGAACTGACTCCCCCGTTGTTTTGTCGTGTTAAATGCTCTTTGTAACAGACCGAGCACATGCCACTGGTCCGAGGGTTGCCGTAGAAACCGCAGCCGGTGGCACAGAGCATGGGCACGGGGCTTTGATTGGTCTCCTGGGCCATCTCTCTGAAATGGAGCGATTCCTGCCGAGAACAAAACACAAGAGTCATGAGCATCACAGTGTGTGTGAAGCAGGAATCAAAGACTGGCTTCATTAAGAGGATTTGCGTTGATAAAGGCGTAATGTTGCCGCAGAATCAGATTAAGGGTCAGACGCCTGAATGCTTTTCTTGGCATCGGTTTGGCACGAGCCTCATCCCGGCACAGAATCACCTGATTCAAGCCCACTCCTTCAAACTCACACCACGGATCATGCGATTGTTTTACAAGCATCCAGCTCAGTCAGGTTGTATGACAACTTGTAAGACTTCCTGGAACCTGTGGTTTGTTTTGCTGTTAACCAGTCAAGTCCTTCATTAACACATTTTAGGGCGGGTTACATCAGACGAGACCGTATTGACGTCAGGAGAACTGTAATCTCAGTACTAAGATCATCTGCCATGAACACACTGCAAAAACAGAGAAATTTAAAATAAAATTTAAAGTAAACACCTCCCCTATGGAGTGACCTAAAACATTGATATTAATTAGGACTGGGCTACATGACAACATATTGTGGCCGCAATACAAAGCATCAATCCACAAGTATTTTACCATATCATTTATGTTGCAATACGTAATTCATTTTGTGCTGCATGGATGTAAAGCTATTGATATGTTGGTGACAAATATTTTTTTTTTAATACATTTAAGGGACACCTAGACAGCACACACAGAATTAGCACGCTCATAATGACCTCAACTAATACTGCGCAGCAGTAGTTAGTTATTTGCATTGCCATGTCACGATCTAAGGCTTTATGGCAAAAACGGAGATGAAATAATACAAGAGTTACATAAATGAAAAAAAAACCAAGCAAACAGAAAAATACAGCAGTTAAAATTAGACAAGATTTGTAAGATTAAGAAATACTAAATCTCTTCTGGTAAAATCTTAACTAAAGTCCCTGAGTGTACACTAATTCTGCATAACGTAATGCCATGTTTTGCAACAGCAGTATGCAGCATTTACACAGTTTTAAAATTGTGCTCTATTCAAACAAGTTCACTTCCTTGCAGTAAGCTAGCATTTGATTCTGAACGGTCTCCTGAGACACTTTAAGTCTGAAACACAAATACCAACCTCGTTCAGGAACTTCTACTTCATGGTTATGTTTTTTTTTTTTACTTAAATGCTGATATTAAATAGACCTACAGTACAGCACTGTGTCATTTGCATCTTTGTTTGTAACTGACTTGCATGTTCTTATTTTTATAGACAAAAGACAAAATAAAACTATGATATTATAATGCACATTACCATGCAATAAAAGTACTTATGAAATAATATTGGTCATATCACCAACCACTGGTCCATAACAGAGCATGGGCACGGGGCTTTGATTGGTCTCCTGGGCCATCTCTCTGAAATGGAGCGATTCCTGCCGAGAACAAAACACAAGAGTCATGAGCATCACAGTGTGTGTGAAGCAGGAATCAAAGACTGGCTTCATTAAGAGGATTTGCGTTGATAAAGGCGTAATGTTGCCGCAGAATCAGATTAAGGGTCAGACGCCTGAATGCTTTTCTTGGCATCGGTTTGGCACGAGCCTCATCCCGGCACAGAATCACCTGATTCAAGCCCACTCCTTCAAACTCACACCACGGATCATGCGATTGTTTTACAAGCATCCAGCTCAGTCAGGTTGTATGACAACTTGTAAGACTTCCTGGAACCTGTGGTTTGTTTTGCTGTTAACCAGTCAAGTCCTTCATTAACACATTTTAGGGCGGGTTACATCAGACGAGACCGTATTGACGTCAGGAGAACTGTAATCTCAGTACTAAGATCATCTGCCATGAACACACTGCAAAAACAGAGAAATTTAAAATAAAATTTAAAGTAAACACCTCCCCTATGGAGTGACCTAAAACATTGATATTAATTAGGACTGGGCTACATGACAACATATTGTGGCCGCAATACAAAGCATCAATCCACAAGTATTTTACCATATCATTTATGTTGCAATACGTAATTCATTTTGTGCTGCATGGATGTAAAGCTATTGATATGTTGGTGACAAATATTTTTTTTTTAATACATTTAAGGGACACCTAGACAGCACACACAGAATTAGCACGCTCATAATGACCTCAACTAATACTGCGCAGCAGTAGTTAGTTATTTGCATTGCCATGTCACGATCTAAGGCTTTATGGCAAAAACGGAGATGAAATAATACAAGAGTTACATAAATGAAAAAAAAACCAAGCAAACAGAAAAATACAGCAGTTAAAATTAGACAAGATTTGTAAGATTAAGAAATACTAAATCTCTTCTGGTAAAATCTTAACTAAAGTCCCTGAGTGTACACTAATTCTGCATAACGTAATGCCATGTTTTGCAACAGCAGTATGCAGCATTTACACAGTTTTAAAATTGTGCTCTATTCAAACAAGTTCACTTCCTTGCAGTAAGCTAGCATTTGATTCTGAACGGTCTCCTGAGACACTTTAAGTCTGAAACACAAATACCAACCTCGTTCAGGAACTTCTACTTCATGGTTATGTTTTTTTTTTTTACTTAAATGCTGATATTAAATAGACCTACAGTACAGCACTGTGTCATTTGCATCTTTGTTTGTAACTGACTTGCATGTTCTTATTTTTATAGACAAAAGACAAAATAAAACTATGATATTATAATGCACATTACCATGCAATAAAAGTATTTATGAAATAATATTGCTCATATCACCAACCACTGGTCCATAAGTCACATTATCAATAACTACCCATTCATATTAACAGCTAACTGCTGTGTTCGATAACATTTTCTTCTGCTGTATCGATTATAATGCAATACCAATTTCACTGGCATCAGCTACTGAAAGTCCAATACTATGATCACCCTGCTAGGCAGATAAACTGCGACTAAACGGTGTTTTGATGGGTAAATGCTGACTAGCAGTGTGGCATGTAAATATATCTGTAGGTGGAACAGCTTGAACATGGTGTTCAGCCGGAGACAGATGACAGCAGAAACGCCATCCACATCCAAGCACCCGGACCAACAGCCACGCGTTCCAGCAATAAACCTGAAATCTCTCAGGAGTGACACATCGGCGAGGGGCACGCTTTCAGGGGCCTCACATCTCTTAAGTAAACACGAGATTGCACCATTTCACCCCCGCCCCTCAGTGTCAGAAGTTTTCCCCTGAAAAGCCACCACATGTGCATCTGCTGCCCCTCGCTCTCATGGACGGCTGGATTAGTTTTCATCTGTCACAAGGGTGCACTGTGACATGCTGTTCAAAACAGCCTCCACCATGCAAACAGCTATAAATACCCCCGATCGTCCTGACCTGCCTCCATTACATCACACACCTCTAGTAGGAGCCCTCCTCCCTACACATGGCCTCATATTTTTTGATAAAGCCAAAAATGGCAAAGCCCCAACAGGGCTGTTTTCCCCCCTTCCATGCATGTCGGCCATCCGTGTCCATTCAGCCCTGTCTGGATGACAGAAAACACACGGCATACAGTGCAAAACAAAGACATGAGTGAGAACCAAGTCAACTATTTGAACTAAAGCAAACCAATAAGCTAAAAAGACACCATAAATGTATCAAGACTTCAGAAAGCAGATACAAGCAGATATACAGCTCACACAAAGTGCACTTAATCATATAAACATGATACTCACACAGCATGTGTATATTTTATAGAGCTTTATCAGTGTTTGAGGCCTCAGTGAAATCCACTGAGTCATGCTAACACTAGCATCACGGCTAACATACAGACAGTCGTTTATAAGGAGCATAAAAGTCTCCACACAAGCGTTCATCGCCTCAAAGTTGGTGTTGTGTTCAGTCTGAGGGGTTTGTGAGGGCGAACGAGTGCGGATGGACGCTAATGTAGCGGTTTATCTGCTTTTTATCTGGGTCAGGGTGAATATGCCTGTGTTCTCCTTTGTTTCAAACACTCTTCCTGTTTGAGCCAAAGTACAAACCTTGATAAACAGACGATTATACACCACCAGAAGGTCAGTTCAGAACAAATCCGTCAAGATACGCAGGAACAGAAGCCGGGGAAATGTTTTTAAAGACGTTTATCCGTTAACTCATAACTTTATCTGAATAAACGTGCAGCTAACTGCAACAAACGGGCTTGTTTTTCCACCTCAGCAACCCTAAAAGACAAAACCGGTTTAAATGCGAAGCAAACAGCTCGTTAAGAATAAAACACGCTTGTTTGAACACAAACCTGCTGTTTTCGTGTCATATTTCAGCGTTTAGATTGAAAGGAACAACAGGCAAATTTTACTAGCGAACATGCTAGCATCAGCTAATAGCCATATTGGGTTAAACTCGGCGAGTTCATCGTTTTAGACTAACTACTAACACATTACACGACATTATCCCAGCGAATCACGCTTGAAATAGGAGTATTAGGCTTTACTACCTGGTCATTTCACCAAAACGAGTCATATTTTCTTATAACCTTAGCATGATGTTTAAAGCGCTGTAATGCGAAGCAAAAAGTGCTTTCCTTGCCTTATCCGAGCAAAAAGAGAAGCTCCCAGAATACAGAGACTTCGTGTTCCACCGTCGCGACGGTCCGTGCTGTCAGTCCGCTGGTCGGCGCGCTCTACTGGCGGCTGCCTGTTGGGTTTCTTTAATAGTGGCCGTGACGTCACGGAGAGTGACACGTCCGCGGGGCGGGGCTTAACCTCATGAGTTCACTGAACGAAAACAGCCTTCTGCTCTGAAGCAATAGCTCTAGTGCAGCGGACGAAGGCTGTTTTGCATCGGCTTGCTTCTCAGATGCTGGATTTTATTGTTCTCTGCAACTTCAAGGAGTTGTAAATGCGAGTTTGACCTAAGGGTGAAGATGATTTGAGATAAAAGGAGGCAGAAAGGTCTAGTCAACTACTTGCGACAAGTCAGATTTCACAATGTTCTAGTGATTTCCAAATCAATTCTGAGTATTGTGATAGTACTGATAAGACACACTCATTCACTTTCATCCTGTACACCAGTTAGCCTACTAGTTAGCTGATATCAGCCTCCACTGTCAT